CTTTTGATATTCGCAAGTGTTCAATACTATAATAATATAATTGCGTAAATGTAGTACATAAATATGTACGTTTTAAGTATGTAAGTATTCAAATTTTTTTGTGTTTCGTGTAGTATTAACATATCGCGAAGGACTCGTTTTTGTCCACGCATACGTAGACGTTACAGTCGTTTTAAAATTGTACATCGATTATTAATCTATTTTTCTTCGTGTCTCATAATTAAATTTTTCGAATGATAGATTGAATTGAGCAACTTCATTACTGGAGGGATAAAATTGACTTGTAGTTTAGGTGGTAAGAACATGGAATTGAGTAACGTTAACTCACGTGAATTTTCATTTTGCTAATTGTATGATATTGATGAAACGTACGAGTTAATTCGCGTTGCATAATTGACGAATGAAATTGAACATTGTTTCATCATTTCATATATTCTATCTCTGCATTATTCTTGAATACATTATGTTGTATCACATTTCGTCATACGTTATTGCAATATTGTTTATACGATTTAAGAAATTCTTGAGTCACTTCTCGAATTTATCCATCGTTTGTTGTTAATTTATTTACGATAGTGATAAGTGAAATGAATAAATTGATAACCGAGTCGCGTTGTCGTTAATTTAATTACGCGAATCGTTTCGAATAATCGAGAATCAGCTTGTGATAAGACTGGGGTTGAGTACAAAGATGGCGAACCTCCTTCAGCACGTGGTCCCGTGTTACTTTGCCTACCGAGAAATTCAGTTCATGATTCATTCTTTCAAGATATACAAATACAGTTATTAATGATCATTTTCCAAGTATCGCGATTACCTGTTTGGTACCAGGTGTACAGTTTCTGCGAACTATTTCTAGTTTTCCTCTTCTTATCTATTTTGCATAAACATTATATAATATATTACATAGATAAGATATTGATGATACTTTAAATTTTGTATTACGACTGTAAGATGAAGGGGTATGAAAACTAATTAGTCATAGAAATTAATAAGACCCGAGTGTTAGTCGTATAAGTCTGGTCTGTGCCAGTGAATGAATTAAAAATTGATTTGCATGGAAAACGTTCATTAAATCATTCTGGGAACTGGATACGCACAGTTTTCTCGAGTACGAATTCTCTTTCTCCGGCTGTTTCGCACGGCTCGGCTTGTATTATAGTGTGTACTCGCTGGTACTCGGTGGTACCGTGGCGCAAACATTTCTGCGGCTGTGTTAGTCAGATATACATACAGGACGTGTGTACTTACTTCGCTTTACTTTACTTTACTTCGGCGTTCCACGGTCTATTGCACCGGCCCGGACAAATATGGAGCTCGGAACGAGTTTCGAACACCGCTCGTAGATTACACGCTGCTATCGATTATTTTTATTAACGATTTTTAGATACACTCTTCGTCTGATAGAGTGGAACGAGTCTGGCTCTCGAATATATTCACTCGTCAGTTGTTGCACAATTTGTTTTTCTACGGTTCCGAGCGACCGTCTAACAATGGATTTTCAGTTTTCATTCCGTATTCACTACTTCCTGTTGAGTTTCAAGAATTTCTCAGCAGTGTCATCCACTGTTCTAATAAATATGTAGTACAAAAGTAATCTATTTTCGTGGCAAGAGTCAAACTTCTTATTGTTAGTAGTTCAAAGTTCTATCTTTAAGTCGTTCAGGTGTACATAAAGACTTGATTTTAAGATACATAGTTGACAGTTTGCTCCAGATCGTTAGATACGTATTTATACAAAAATAATCGAGAATCCCATTTAAAACAACATTTCATTTTATGGAAAATTTATAACAAATTGTTGTCACGCGAGACTGAAAATATATCGTCTATTTATTGCAGCAATGATACTTAATAGGAAATCATGAAACATGAAATTCGAATTCTAGATCTCTTATTGTTTACGATCGATTGAAGTCACACGTAATCTTATTAACTTTAATACTGTGTACAATCTTTGGAACCTATCCTGACGTATTTATAGACTTACCTTTGTATTATGTGTGTGATAAGCGATCGTCATTTCGACGGCATTGTCAGGCTATTGTCGAGCTCGAACTCTCTTTTATTTATACATATGGTTGAACTTCGACTTGGTCTCGCACAGCTGCGACGTGTCTTTTCACGCGTTCAAGTTACTAATTCCAACCTATGGACGTACATACCACGTTTCCGTACATATTTACTTATTATTAGATAGCTTAGCGAATTTTCCGCTGTCGTCTGACTAATACGTTAACTTTCGCTTCCATTAAGTAGTTTTAGTATATCCAGACCCCAATTAAGGATCAGCGTTTCGCGTTAATGGATATTTAATTACTTCGTTTCATTATAAATTCGCAAAATTCTTTCCATAAGACTCCTGAGAAATTCGGTTGATTCGGTTGATCAAATATCGAACGACTTCGTTCGGATGGGAAACGTCGATTCTAAGGAGTTTTAAATGGGAAACAGTTGAAACGATTCGAGGTAAATTGAACTTTATTCATCGATTAAACGAAATGCACGTGGGCGATAGGTAAAAATACACCGCATACGCAGGATCGTGTTCTATAAATTGTTTTCCGTCGGTGAATCGAGCGAGTGTTTCGCCTTCCATTCATTTATTCCCAGCCAACGTTCTACGGTCTACTAGCTTAGGTACAGCAACGCGCAAAAGTACGGTTGCCATTTCTCGGAATTTAGTCATTCATTGTATACTCAGATTCTTCTTACCGAAGCCCTGGTCTCTTTAATGAGCGTCGCAGGGTTTATTATTTTTTAAATGAAATCCGATAGTTTCCTAAATTAGAATTCTGTTCAGATTTTATTCCTCATATGAAATAATAACATTTTTATTATCGTCAGTAGTTCGAGAGAATTTCTTTGTCTTAATGAAAATTTACTTTCTGTCTTTGAATTATGAAAAAGGAATGCGCGACATAATTCATTATTTTTAGAAGGCAGTCTTATTTCTTATCCTCCCTCTCTTCCCTTTCTCAGCTCGCCCGTAACTTTCCTCAACAATTTCTCATCGACGATTTCGAAACTGGTCTCGATGATGATGATCATCATCATTCGTTAACGACGATGACGATCCCTCGTTTCGACTTTCGTTCGCTCATTCACGCTTCTAAACTCCTCGGGTGTTTCGATTTCATTTGTACTTAGTATGTTTACGGTATTGATTCAATGATAATTACTTCGGGTAGATGTAATGATCGTCAAATAGATTAAACGATAGCGATTGATAAATATTTTCAGACCGATAGGCAAGAGAATTGTTTTATCATTGCTGTTAATATAAGTAGAATTAAATGTTTTTCTTACGAGACCTGCCCATGTTTAATATGAGCTCGAATTAGCATACAATGTAACACGAGGGTAAGAACAATTTGTGATATGGACGGAGCGAGATATAAAGAAAATGAGTTTGTCGCTTGATGTAGTGAAGAATTGGAAAAGAGTGGAGAAAAAATGGGAACAAAGAACGGGAAAGCGTTTTATATTGGACTAAGCAGCACCCATGTGTACGTACCTAGAGCACAGAGAAGAGAGTACAAAGTGGGTAGAAATGGAAACGGTTGAGCGAGAAAAGTGAAACGAAAGCGAGATGCAGTGTACAGTGCCTCGCAAAATTCTCAACTCGCTCGAGTATTGTGAAAGCATAATTAAATGATACTATCTGTTGCTCATTAGTTCGAAAGGTAATTAAAGCTCGGATATATAATAGAACCGAGAGATTATGTACATTTTCGTTACATTCGGTTCAAAGTAGAGAAGAAAAGAAGGATACCGGTCATTTTATGCAAGTGTACATTGTGTTCCTTTTCTCATTCATGCTTGCTACGAATTCGCCAGATTTTTCAAAAGAAACCGGTCCCACTGAGACGACTAAGAACGACTTGCGAAATTCTGTTCACGTACCTTCCTCCCTTTTACTGTGAAATTCTTCACTAGAATGAGTACAATCAATCCTGAAAGGACATGTGCTTTAGGTAAGAAAACGTTAGGATGGAAAATTTTTACAGAGAAATTCAGGAATTAATATAGTACATACGTTTAACAAGGCAAATTATCAACTTACAGTTCCTGGTTATTTCCATTAATTGCCTTTTAACTTATCATAGTTTTATGAATGCCACCGATTTAATTAAGTATTTTTATTACTGACAGACTTGAATATGTTCTTTTTAGATGGCTACCATCGGTTTGCACGATAACTCGATATTTCACGGTTCTGTTTTAACTTTTTATGGGTAACTGACTTGCACCGATTGGCTTCATACTTTCTTAGCCAGCTATGTACCAGCTGCGCGTACCGTTCTTTCCTTCTTTTTCCTCCGCTCTTCTTCTTCTTGCATCGTTTATTGCAGAAAAAGCGGATTCACTGATTACAGTTGAAGGTCTTCACTCCAATCCCTTTCTAGAGAAATCTGTGCTCTTCGATTCTCAGCAATTTTACTGTGTATACAGTTTTTCTGTATTAACAAGTTATTTAGATTCTTATTCTTATTACTCATTAATATGGAATATTCTTAAATCTCGTAATGATCTCTATTAATTCTTGATGTTCGAAATGATTTATTCTAAATGCTTATTAATTGATGAAGTAAATCTTAAACATGTTTTTATATCAAGAATTTCTTAAGATTCTTATGTAAGATAATTGA